CCTGTTAAAAAACTTGTGATGGTTATAGTCACAAAATACAGTTACAACACCAATCGGTACAACTATTTTAGTTTAAACATTCAACTCTGTATCTTGTAAATAGAAGAGCAGTCTCATGTACATAGACTGAAAACTCCATCAGGGACCATTTAAGAAAATGGGGATACTGATGTTACAATTAATGCTTTAGATTATATATTATTAATTTTGTTAAAAAACTTGTGATGGTTATAGTCACAAAATACAGTTACAACACCAATCGGTACAACTATTTTAGTTTAAACATTCAACTCTGTATCTTGTAAATAGAAGAGCAGTCTCATGTACATAGACTGAAAACTCCATCAGGGACCATTTAAGAAAATGGGGATACTGATGTTACAATTAATGCTTTAGATTATATATTATTAATTCACTAACTGTATGCTTAGCTATCAATTCATGACCTTTAGAATTATATTAAGTATGGGTATACATACACCACATACATACAGAATACACCACAACCCTGCACCTTCTATGTAGTTTTAATTGTTTTTCACCTAAGTATGATTATAGCAGTATCATTATCAAGTGATAATTTGGGTTGACAATCCACTTCTCTCAATAGCAACATCTATTTCCCACGGGAGGAAGTGATAACATTAGGTGATAATGATATATTACTTGTCTCATTCACGGGTGTTCTTTACTCAGATCATCACCGTTCACCTCAGTTATATTGAAGCAGAATGATAATTTCCCAATGTTTATTTAATCATCTGTTCTTAAGTAGCCAAGCAATGGATGACCTCAGTAAGGACATCTCAAGTGTATGATCACATTGGAAATCTATGTGTATATATACAGCTTAAGCGGGGAAATGCCTTTGGATCTAGACACAAGATGATATCAGTATGTGCATACAGTTATCATGACTTCATGGAGATTTGATAAAGTAATTCGGAAATTATTAAGAAAGCTTAGCTAAGGTTTTTGTGGCTGTGTAGTGATACCCAGTAACATCTTCTCATGCACTGCAATAATGTGTCTACCATGACACAGGGATGACGGCAGCTTGGCCCCATCCAACCTCATGATCTGCTGGCTTTATGTGGACTGTTTGCATTCTAACCCATTATTCTGATTTGAAGTAATTGTTTTTTTTTTCCACTAGAGATTAGTCATCAAAGGGGATTTAAAAAAAAAAAGCAGACACAACTACATCACTAAATGCATGATTAGCCTCAACACACCAAGTCCTCCAGATAGCTGATAGCAAGCCACTCTCATCAGTCTGCAAGTTTCAGCACTTGCTGACTTCTTTTGTATAATGACTTAAAAAACAATAGTCAGATTAAGTTATGCCCTGCCCATCCCATGTGGTTCCATAAATGGAACTGTAGAAAGCAGATGGAAGGGGATCCTTTTTTTCTCTGTGCAATATTGATATATAATCTATTCACTGTAGCTAAACCAATGCTGGAAGGGACTGCCTGTTTCTAGTCTGTGATGCCCAGTGAGTCATAAGCCATTATTTATAAATGCAAGCACTGACATTATTATTTATAAATGCAAGCTTTAATGCCTCTCCTCTTATAGCAAAGGAGGCATCAGGGCTTTTTTTTTTTTACCCTGATGTCTCCATAAAGAGCACCCATCAAAACCAAAGTGTACACATAGGGGGCAATCCCTTGTGATAAAAAAGTTAAGTTAAACAATATTATTTTATTTAAATTTAATTAAAACACATGAACAGGAACAACATACACATATGCAGTTAGATCATACATTCACATAACAGTACACATATTAGAAGGTCTAGTTATAAATCTTTTCACACAAGATTCACACAACTTTTATCCAGGATTCATGCATTTTTTTCAATTGGATCCAAATAAAGTATAGATGCAGGGTAAAGTTTTTGTAAATCTCGTGTGAAAACATTTTGGTGCATGTGGTATCTCCCACATGCACCAAAATAGGCAGTAAAGCTTTTATTAAGTTGTCCACAATTTATTTTTGGCTTTTTTTAAAGGTGTTTACGATATTTTAAGCCTATATGTACTTGTTATTCAGTAACTGGACACATTTTTTTTAATCAATATTAAAATCATTTTAAATGAGTCAGAAGGATATCAGTATAATCACCATCTTTTAATATGAAACCTCTACTTGTGACTGCTACCGTTCATATATGATACATTACATTAATACCAGCCAAGTACTCATTGAGAAATTATATCCAAGGAAAGAATGCTGGGTATGAAATAACAAAAGTTATTCTCCTAAATTTTGTTTTAAAACAATCTAAAACCTATCTTCCCTCTTTGCTGCACTTTTTACGGTATGTAGGCAAGTTTAAACCATATGTGTGAAAGTACTGTTGGA